ATGTGTCGTCGTGACAACACCAGGCTGCCATGTGTCGTCGTGACAACACCAGGCTGCCATGTGTGTCGTCGTGACAACACCAGGCTGCCATGTGTGTCGTCGTGACAACACCATGCTGCCATGTGTCGTGACAACACCAGGCTGCCATGTGTCGTCGTGACAACACCAGGCTGCCATGTGTGTCGTCGTGGCAACACCAGGCTGCCATGTGTGTCGTCTTGGCAACCCCAGGCTGCCATGTGTGTCGTCGTGGCAACACCAGGCTGCCATGTGTGTCGTCGTGGCAACACCAGGCTGCCATGTGTGTCGTCGTGGCAACACCAGGCTGCCATGTGTGTCGTCATGGCAACACCAGGCTGCCATGTGTCGTCGTGACAACACCAGGCTGCCATGTGTGTCGTCGTGGCAACACCAGGCTGCCATGTGTGTTGTCGTGACAACACCAGGCTGCCATGAGTGTCGTCGTGGCAACACCAGGCTGCCATGTGTGTCGTCGTGGCAACACCAGGCTGCCATGTGTGTCGTCGTGGCAACACCAGGCTGCCATGTGTGTCGTCGTGGCAACACCTGGCTGCCATGTGTGTCGTCGTGACAACACCAGGCTGCCATGTGTGTCGTCGTGGCAACACCCGGCTGCCATGTGTGTCGTCGTGGCAACACCTGGCTGCCATGTGTGTCGTCGTGGCAACACCAGGCTGCCATATAAGGCCCAACACTTGAGAAAACTCCTCCTTGTTGAATTTTTTCTTCCCCCTGTGTGTAATAATGTTGTACCGTAGTCCAGAATTATTCTCCTGGTAAGAGAAAAGCGCAGCACGTTGCGTGCGTCGGGCTGGTGGTGGTGGTGGTGGTGGTGGTGGTGGTAATTGCAGAACAAGTTGGGCAAGTCCGGCCCTTATGAGCGACATTACCAGTACTTGGAGAAGTTTTTCCCCTTCACCAGTTTCTGCCACCAAAGTTCACGCTCCATCCTGGAGGCTCTGGTGGGGAAGCTTCCAGTATGAGGCTCCTGGAGGCTCTGGTGGAGGGCTTCCAGTATGAGGCTCCTGGAGGCTCTGGTGGTCGGAGGCTTCCAGTATGAGCCGGTCGGCCTAGCGGACAGCACGCTGGACTTGTGATCCTGTGGTCCTGGGTTCGATCCCAGGCGCCGGCGAGAAACAATGGGCAGAGTTTCTTTCACCCTAACACTTTATGTAGGGCATACGTAAATCTGTGTATCTATGTATTTACGTATGTAGGTTAGCTTAGCATTTTAAAAGCACCGAATCACCTTCTGTGGTTGAGTGTTCAATAAACCCCTGAACTCTATGTTTAACATTTCTCTAACCCTGTCCATGGAGGACAGAAGAAAATGTATATATGCTGGTTAGCATTGTAAATGTGTGGCCACGTCTGTGGTAGAAAATAATAAAAAAAAAAAAAAACCTATGCCCCTGTTACCTAGCAGTAAAATAGGTACCTGGGTGTTTGTCAGCTGTCACGGGCTGCTTCCTGGGGGTGGAGGCCTGGTCGAGGACCGGGCCACGGGGACACTAAAAGACCCGAAATCATCTCAAGATGAGGCTCCTGGAGGCTCTGGTGGGGGGGGGGGGGGGCTTCCAGAATGCGCATGTTTGGATCAATAATAAAAGTTGATCATACTTTGTGTTCACTTGCTCTTGCTGACCTTCACTCTTGCCTTCTCTCCCTGCCGTCCCCTGTACAGCTCAGAGTACTGGAGGTGACGGTAATGAGGTAATGTTTAGTTCGGGGTTGTTGGGGCGTGTGCATTGTTGTCGAGGTGATGGTTGAGCGGGGATTGTATGGGCAAGGAGTTGGGGTATGTGGTGGAGAGGTGGGTATGGTGTGTGTGTGTTGGGGAGGGGGGGGGGGGGAGGGGTACGAGGAGCGCTGTATCATGCGTGTCATTGCCACTCAGGAGGGATTTGTCACACTGTCACTCTTGATTACCGACTGCACGTGACGTCTGTCCCTCCCTCCCTCCCTCCCTCCCTGAACCACCCCAGCCTGCATCCGTACCCTCATTCTGGACGACGTGTACCCCCATCGTTACATCCCGTCACGGACTGGCACTGCAGTGGACCAGCCTGGTGGATCAAACTCTCACAAGTCAAGCCTGGCCTCGGGCCGGGCTTGGGGAGTAGAAGAACTCCCAGAACCCCATCAACCAGGTATCAACCAGGTATCAACCAGGCATCAGCAGACCACGGCAACACCCACACGGTTGCCAGTAGGGGGCGGGAGAGGTGTGCGTGCCAGGGGCACCTCCCTGGCTACCCCTTGCGCAACTCCGCTCCTTAACATGTCTTCTGGGATTACAACATTTGCCCCAAAATATATATATTTTTAAAGATAGACTTTATGCTTCATTTTGTTCATTTCACTTATAAATTTCTCCCGGCAATAGCCCGCAATCGCTTGTGTAATTGGCCGAGTTAGCTTTTGCTGTGTCAGGGCGGCAGCTGGAGGCTCAAGTGTTGGCAGGTTAGTTCCTGGAGGGTGTGCCAGTAACATCATTTACCTCTAATGGCCTGGACGCTACAGTATCACCCAAGACGAGCCGACTCGTCACGTACTGTGTGCTCTTGAACACTCTTGCACACCTGCACTCTTTATTTCTCTGTAATATGTTAAAAGTCTTTTGTGAGGTAATCATTTTGTTTAGTGGTTCTGGTCTCTTGATATTTCCCCAGGACTGGACTGTGCTCTAGCTCTGCATCCCCGGCTTCCGTCCCCTGGGACTGGACTGTGCTCTGAGCGGACAGAACACTGGACGCGTGAGCCTGTGGTCCCGGGTTCGATCCCGGGCGTCGGCGAGAAACAATGGACAGTTTCTTTCACCCCTGATGTCCCTGTTACCTAGCAGTAAATAGGTGCCTGGGAGTTAGTCAGCTGTCACGGGCTGCTTCCTGGAGGGTGGAGGCCTGGTCGAGGACCGGGCCGTGGGGACACTAAGCCCCGAAATCATCTCAAGATAATGAGATAATGGGGGTAGTGTCTAAAGACCTGAGCAAATCATCCTACGTCATCGCTACTATTTGCATCAACCCAACTCAACCCAATCGAAAAATAAGAGATAAAATGTTGTGTTATCTTGAGATGATTTCGGGGCTTTTTAGTGTCCCCGCGGCCCGGTCCTCGACCAGGCCTCCACCCCCAGGAAGCAGCCCGTGACAGCTGACTAACACCCAGGTACCTATTTACTGCTATGTAACAGGGGCATTCAGGGTGAAAGAAACTTTACCCATTTGTTTCTGCCTCGTGCGGGAATCGAACCCGCGCCACAGAATTACGAGCCCTGCGTGCTATCCACCAGGCTACGAGGCCTGTGTCTTATAATGGTATACATAAAGTTATACGTGACTATGACGTCACTATCCCAGCTCAGGTTTTAGATTTCTCTGTATTTTTTATGAAGTAAATTCAGAAAGTTGTTGACTTACAACAACTGTCCCCACCTGACCACCGTCACATTTGAGGTGGTTCTCCTGAACCAGAATCGTTCAAATCTGACGTTATTGTTTTTTATTCAGCTACTGGGAACAATACGGTCCAAGTAGCACGGGCTATGGTGAGCCCGTAGCCCGCCAAACACACACCGAAACTATGACGTTGGTACAATGTTCGAACAAGTTTTAACACCTAACCAGTTATAACAACCAATATAGCAAGTTGTAACAACGTTCTAGTACGTCATAAATACGTTAAGCCAAGATGTAACAACTTTATTACAAGTTGTAACAAGCGGAAAATAGAGACAGTTTCGGTTTGTGTTTCCAGGGAGTGGACTTACCTGGCACAGGAGCGGGGCTGGAAAAAGTTGAACCCTGACAACACGCCTAATATACGCCCATGCTCTTAATCCCAAACAAGCGTCAATTTTACATTGATATTACATTATCTAAAGCACTGGAATTTGTACGTAGTTGTCGATAGTGTCAAAATCGCATCTTCAAGAGAAAACTAGATAGTTTTCTTCAAGAAGTGCCGGACCAACCGGGCTGTGGTGGGTATGTGGGCCTGCGGGCCGCTCCAAGCAACAACCTAGTGGACCAAACTCTCACAAGTCAAGCCTAGCCTCTGGCCGGGCTTGGGGGAGTAGAAGAACTCCCAGAACCCCATCAACCAGGTATACGTGGGCCTGCGGGCCGCTCCAAGCAACAGCCTGGTGGACGAAACTCACAAATTGAGCCTGGCCTCGGGCCGGGCTTGGGGAGTAGAAGAACTCCCAGAACCCCATCAACCAGGTATCCGGTGGTGTGTCAGAGGAAGGTAGGCAGGTTCCCGTCGCCCCCGTATCGAATGCTTCCCGCCAGAGCCCTAACAAAGAGGTGACGCGTCAAGCATGTCAGGCGCGTGATGGTAAAAATTATATTAATTCACATTGTATATTTACACAGTTTGTTAACTTTATAGTGTACGGTTATTGGGGCTCATCACATCAGTAAATTTCCCCCAAATTGCGGGGATTTCACGATAATTAGGGACATGACATTTTACCCCAAAATGTATGTTACATGGCTGTGATATATGATTGTTTTTCCGTACATAGGAGTTCAGTGGTTGGGGTAATTTGTTGTTAAATGCAAGTGTAAATCATCTTCAGCATTAATCGTGTGGAGAAATGTTGTTGCAAATGGCACAGGTTATTGCAAACCCCATATATGTTGCAGTTTATTTTCTACGGCAGACGCGGTCATTCACAATGCTGAGCATACATTCTCTTCTGCCATCCAAAGGCATAGTGGGGGATGTTTTCTGCTACATATTGTGTAGTGAGCTGTTGAGCACTCAACCACAGGTGATTGTAGTGCGTTTATAATGCTCACCAGTACACACGGCCCTTAGGTCTTCCCCTGGGGTGAGCTGTGAGGGTCAGGGGGCCCTTAGGTCTTCCCCTGAGTGAGCTGTGAGGGTCAGGGGGCCCTCAGGTCTTCCCTGAGTGAGCTGTGAGGGTCGGGGGCCCTCAGGTCTTCCCTGAGTGAGCTGTGAGGGGCGAGTCAGGGAGGGAAGGCGCCCCACGTTGGTCGTTCGATTTCAACGTGTCTTGTGTGGTCAATGTTGCTGTGTCTGTTGCTGTCTGTTTGTTGCAAGGGTTGCTGTTGTTGCTTCTGTTGTTGCTGATGCTCTGCTGCGGCTGTTAATGGTTCCGTTGTTGTTGCTAGTTCTGTTGCTGCTAGCTCTGTTGCTGCTAGTTCTGTTGCTGCTAGTTCTGTTGTTGCTAGCTCTGTTGCTGCTAGCTCTGTTGCTGCTAGTTCTGTTGCTGCTAGCTCTGTTGCTGCTAGTTCTGTTGCTGCTAGTTCTGTTGCTGCTAGCTCTGTTGCTGCTAGCTCTGTTGCTGCTAGCTCTGTTGCTGCTAGCTCTGTTGCTGCTAGCTCTGTTGTTGCTAGCTCTGTTGCTGGTAGCTCTCTTGCTGCTAGCTCTGTTGCTGCTAGCTCTGTTGTTGCTAGCTCTGTTGCTGCTAGCTCTGTTGTTGCTAGCTCTGTTGTTGCTAGCTCTGTTGCTGCTAGCTCTGTTGCTGCTAGCTCTGTTGTTGCTAGCTCTGTTGCTGCTAGCTCTGTTGTTGCTAGCTCTGTTGCTGCTAGCTCTGTTGTTGCTAGCTCTGTTGCTGCTAGCTCTGTTGTTGCTAGCTCTGTTGCTGCTAGCTCTGTTGTTGCTAGCTCTGTTGCTGCTAGTTCTGTTGCTGCTAGCTCTGTTGTTGCTAGCTCTGTTGCTGCTAGCTCTGTTGTTGCTAGCTCTGTTGCTGCTAGCTCTGTTGCTGCTAGCTCTGTTGTTGCTAGCTCTGTTGCTGCTAGCTCTGTTGTTGCTAGCTCTGTTGTTGCTAGCTCTGTTGCTGCTAGTTCTGTTGCTGCTAGCTCTGTTGTTGCTAGCTCTGTTGCTGCTAGCTCTGTTGTTGCTAGCTCTGTTGCTGCTAGCTCTGTTGTTGCTAGCTCTGTTGCTGCTAGCTCTGTTGTTGCTAGCTCTGTTGCTGCTAGCTCTGTTGCTGCTAGTTCTCTTGCTGCTAGCTCTGTTGCTGCTAGCTCTGTTGTTGCTAGCTCTGTTGCTGCTAGCTCTGTTGTTGCTAGCTCTGTTGCTGCTAGCTCTGTTGTTGCTAGCTCTGTTGTTGCTAGCTCTCTTGCTGTCGGTGCTGCGGTCGGGTGCGCGCTTCTCTATTGCTAAAGGCGTTTCGCGGACTCCAACTGATATTACCCCGGGTAATATATTTGGGTGTATTGATTTTCCGTCCAGGTGTAGGGTGCGTGCGTGCGTGCGTGCGTGCGTGCGTGCGTGCAGCGGGTGCTGGGTTCCTTCAGCTTCCACATCTCTCGCTCTCCCGACACCTGAGCATCAATTAAATATTACAAAAAAAAAATGTTAGATGGTGTTTTTAGCATCTTTGTTTGTCATGTTCACTAAATTTACTGTATATGGTGGATTTTTTTATTTTTTTAAATTCGAATTACATTTGTGTGAGTGGAGTGGTTCCGGCTTGTTTGACGTGTGTGTGTTGTTTGGGAGGTTGTAGAGTGTGGTGAGAGCGTGTTTGTGTGTGTGTGTTTTGTGATTTGTTGATATTGCGTTACTCCGGGAGCCGGTCGGCTGAGCGGACAGCACACTGGACTTGTGATCCTGTGGTCCCGGGTTCGATCCCGGGCACCGGCGAGAAACAATGGGCAGAGTTTCTTTCACCCTGTGCCCCTGTTACCTAGCAGTAAAATAGGTACCTGGGTGTTAGCCAGCTGTCACGGGCTCCACCTCCTGGGGGTGGAGGCCGGGTCGAGGACCGGGCCGCGGGAACACTAAAGCCCCGAAATCATCTCAAGATAACCTCAAGATACTCCTGTACACTATTTCTTTCATGCTTTCCTTCCTTCATCCTGCTATCCGCCTCACTCCTCACTGCCATTGGTCCAATAATTGATGGCTAATGTAATTCGGGTCACACACAGCACCGCCCATGTGCCAGGTAAGTCCACTACGGGCTCACCATAGCCCGTGCTACTTGCCCCGCTCCTGTGTCAGGTAAGTTACGGGCTCACCATAGCCCGTGCTACTTGGAACTTGTTCTGAGTAGCTGAATCTATAACAACAACAATTCGGGTTAACAACCATTATGATAGTTTAACCCAGCAGTGGTTGTCGTGACCGGTTAGTAGTCACCATTTAGACTGTCATGGTTGTGACCCCCCTCTATCCCACCCACATCCCCTCCCTCTCACCCCACACCCCCCTCCCTCTCTCACCCACCCCCTCTCTCTCTCACCAACCCCCCCTCTCTATCCCACCCACACCCCCCTCTCTATCCCCCACACCCCCTCCCTCCTAATCCCACCCTACCCCCCATATTTTCACCATAGCTACCACCCACCACCCCTCGTCCCCCCTCATCTCCCCCTTTTACATCTTATGCATTAACATTCATGAATGTACGTGTCCATATAGGTTTGTTTTTCATTGTTTAGCGTGTGGCTGTCACTGTGACCGTCACTGTGGGTGTCGTTCCCCGTGGCTGTCGTCCGCGGTCGCCTCCACTCTACTTCGCCTATCTTAGTTATGTATTATAAGTAGAGTTATCTCTGTGTTGGGATGCTGCAGGTTATTGTGGCAGATCCTCATCTCCCGAGCCAGCATCTTTATGTTCTGTATTTTCCTTCGTTCATGACTTTATCTCTTTCGGTATCTCTCCATCCCTCTCTCTGTTATATCTCTTACTCTGTGGCATCTCTCCCTCCCTCTCTCTGGTATCTCTCTTACTCTGTGTGGTATCTCTCCCTCCATCTCTCTGGTATCTCTCTTACTCTCTGTGGTATCCCTCCCTCCATCTCTCTGTTATCTCTCCTACTCTGTGGTATCTCTCCCTCCATCTCTCTGTTATCTCTCCTACTCTGTGGTATCTCTCCATCCATCTCTCTGTTATCTCTCCTCCTCTCTCTGGTATCCATCCTATTCCCTTTCTCCAGTATTTTTATTTATATATACAATAGGTCTTACATTCTTGTACAGCCACTAGCACGCGTAGCGTTTCGGGCAAGTCCTTAATCTTAATTTTCCCCGGAATACGACCCGCCTAATCGTTTAACCAGATACCCATTCACTCTTGGGGGAACAGAGGCTACAGTTAAGGATTGGCGCCCAGTCGATCCTCTCCGGCCAGAATACGAACCCAGGCCAAATCGCTAGCGAAGCCCGGGGGAGAGGGGGGAGTGTGTTACCACTGTGCCACAGAGACATCTATTTTCTCTCTTTCTCTCAGGTGGTGATTGAGCGATTGAGGTCATATCTATATCTCATCTAGCTATGGTTCTTATCCCAGAGTGAAAATCTCTGTAAATATTCATGGATTGGACAGTAATTCTTCATCCTCCTGTGGTATGAGCTACTAGGAGTCTGTCTGTCTCTCTCTCTCTCTCTCTCTCTCTCTCTCTCTCTCTCTCTCTCTCTCTCTCTCTCTCTCTCTCTCTCTCTCTCTCTCTCTCTCTCTCTCATATCTTTTGTATCATTCTCTCGTAGCCTAATGCCTTCTTCATTCCACCAGGTGTGCTTTTTCCTGTAGTGTAGCCAGTGGTGGTGGTGGGAGGCCGTGACAAGCTCCGTGATACTGGCACTCCGGTTGTCTCCTCGGCCAATTGATACGGCACTGATACGAGACAGCAATTTCCCCTTGCTAATTACTTAAAGGAGCAGGCACCATGGGGGCCAGGGCGCTGGTGGCCGTGGCGCCTTGTGATTGGTGAATGTTGGGGCAGAGCAACATCCCGATTGGCTGGGAACCTCGTTTAACTTTTTCAAAAACCCGCTGATTGGCTGTGGGAGTTGTTGATGATATGAGGGAAGGCTCTGGTTGGCTGGGAGATTTACTCTTCCCCAGATGGAAGTTTTAAGAGAATTCCGATTGGCTCGGGTGACTTGTTGACGGTTTGATAGACGTTATAATTGGCTGTTGACTCGTTGACTTTATGATGAACCCTTTGTCTGGTGTGGGTTATTAAAGAGACGAGTCTCGTTTATCGCAAGAGGACCGGAACCTGTGTTCTGACTGATGGTGAGAGAGCCTGGTTGACCAGTCCAGCAACCAGGAGGCCTGGTCGACGACCGGGCCGCGGGGGACGCTAATCCCCGGAAGGTAACCTCAAGGTAAGGAGATAGCACCTGTATGCTCACTGATTTGTTCTGGTGAAGAACCAAAAGGGACATACCTGACCTCCGTCTGTATGTCCTTGTTGCCCGTGTGTTGGGGGTGGTTGTTTGGGGGGGACATCGTGGTTGTGGTTTAGACGCAACAGATCGTGGTTGTGTGGTTGGATCAGAGAATGACATACCTGTTTAGGTAGAGGTGTGTGTGTAGTTACCTAGTTGTGCTTGAACCTCACTTCGTTGGAAGACAGAAGAGTTAGGGGGGACATGATCACCACATTCAAGATTCTCAAGGGAATCGACAGGGTTGATAAAGATAGGCTATTTAACACAAGGGGCACACGCACTAGGGGACACAGGTGGAAACTGAGTGCCCAAATGAGCCAGAGATATTAGAAAGAACTTTTTTTAGTGTCAGAGTGGTTTGACAATGGAATGCATTAGGAAGCAATGTTGTGGATGCTGACTCCATACACAGTTTCAAGTGTAGATATGATAGAGCCCAATAGGCTCAGGAACCTGTACACCTGTTGATTGACGGTTGAGAGGCGGGACCAAAGAGCCAGAGCTCAACCCCCGCAAGCACAACTAGGTGAGTAACAACTAGGTGAGTACCCCACACACACACACACACACACACACCACACACACACACACACAACCACACACACACACACACACACACAAATGGCTGTGTGCCGGCTCTCACCACACTCTACAACCTCCCAAACAACACACACACACACGTCAAACAAGCCGGAACCACTTCACTCACACAAATGTAATTCGAATTTAAAAAAATAAAAAAATCCACCATATACAGTAAATTTAGTGAACATGACAAACCAATTTGCTAAAAACATCTAACATTTTATTTTTTAATATTTAATTGATGCTCAGGTGTCGGGGAGAGCGAGAGATGTGGAAGCTGAAGGAACCCAGCACCCGCTGCACGCACGCACGCACGCACGCACCCTACACCTGGACGGAAAATCAATACAACCCAAATATATTACCCGGGGTAATATCAGTTGGAGTCCGCGAAATGCCTTTAGCAATAGAGAAGTGCGCACCCGACCGCACACACAGCAGACAGCAAGAGAGCTAGGAGCAAGAGAGCTAGGAGCAAGAGAGCTAGGAGCAAGAGAGCTAGCAACAAGAGAGCTAGCAGCAAGAGAGCTAGCAGCAAGAGAGCTAGGAGCAAGAGAGCTAGGAGCAAGAGAGCTAGGAGCAAGAGAGCTAGCAACAAGAGAGCTAGCAGCAAGAGAGCTAGCAGCAAGAGAGCTAGGAGCAAGAGAGCTAGGAGCAAGAGAGCTAGCAGCAAGAGAGCTAGGAGCAGCAGAGAGCTAGGAGCAAGAGAGCTAGCAGCAAGAGAGCTAGCAGCAAGAGAGCTAGCAGCAAGAGAGCTAGCAGCAAGAGAGCTAGGAGCAAGAGAGCTAGCAGCAGGGAGCTAGCAGCAGGAAGCCAGCAGCAGGAAGCTAGCAGCAGGGAGCTAGCAGCAGGGAGCTAGCAGCAGGAAGCTAGCAGCAGGAAGCCAGCAGCAGGAAGCTAGCAGCAGGAAGCTAGCAGCTGGAAGCTAGCAGCAGGGAGCTAGCAGCAGGGAGCTAGCAGCAGGAAGCTAGCAGCAGGAAGCTAGCAGGTGGAAGCCAGCAGCAGGAAGCCAGCAGCAGGAAGCCAACAGCAGGAAGCCAGCAGCAGGAAACAAGAAGCAAGCAGCAGGAAGCAAGAAGCTAGCAGCAGGAAGCCAGCAGCAGGAAGCCAGCAGCAGGAAGCTAGCAGCAGGAAGCTAGCAGCAGGAAGCTAGCAGCAGGAAGCTAGCAGCAGGAAGCCAGCAGCAGGAGAGCCAGCAGCAGGAAGCTAGCAGCAGGAAGCTAGCAGCAGGAGAGCCAGCAGCAGGAAGCTAGCAGCAGGGAGCTAGCTGTAACACGGGTTCGGGTTTCTCTCTCTTTACTTCCTTCTTTCTACTCCCTCTACCCGTATTCTTACTTATTATTTCTCTACCAAGGGACTCCAAAACTTTTACCAAAGCCAACTCCACGCCACGTGGTCCTAAGACGATTGACCGACTTAGGATTCTACACCCAGTATGACGTGACCTAAGCTCTGAGCAAAACCCTAGAGTCGCCTCTATGCTGCCACCACCAGACCAGCTCTACAGAGCAATGATCGAGGTCTGGATCGATCACGCTAATTAATCAACCTTGGGGCTTGATCCCCACTATAGTTATAACCTCGGAAACTTGAGTGTGGAATAAATTAGATGGGGATGATGAATTCCGATCCGATGTTAGAATCGGCGCCCAATGCAACTCTGCCTCGTGTGGACCACGTGACCAGGACAAGTTTACACATAACCAAATGGAAACAATAAAATGCAAATTAATAACAAATTTAATTTATTAAAAGAAAACTAAAACAAAATCTAAATGTGTTCACTCCCTATCACTTTAACACTCCCTACTTGACCTGAATGGCAAATGAGAAGACTATTTCTATAATTAACCATAGCAACTATACCTCTGTGCGACCAGCTCTCGGTCTTGGGCTGGTCTAGGGGAGAGGTAAGATGTTTGACCTCTCCTAGCTGCTCGGCAGATCACACTGATTTTTTCCTTGTCTGGACTACCCCAGACAGAGTATTGTATCCTTCCGCCTAGTCAAAGTCCTACCCAGTTACTAGCAAGGTTTAAGTTATAACAATTAACCTCTGTTGTACTTAATTGATCCAGACTGGTTGAATTATTTTACTGAATTAAATTACAAACATCTAACGGCAGAGCTGTTCCCGATCACAAAAATGGTTATTAAAACTTTGAGAAATAGTAGACCTGTCAACCCCTGATGACCTATGACCGCCGGTCACTCCGCCTCAAAAGTTAGATCTGATTCGTGACGTCACTGATGGTGACTTAAACTCAATAATTAGAATACTCTTGATATTGTATCCGGTACTATTATACAATACAATTTTAATGCAAAATGAATAAAGGCTAATTTTCTCTAAATTACTGAATACTATAGGATGATTCATTATACGCAGATATGAACAAAGCGTCGGTTATTTCCACCGCGAATTCCCCTGGGGGTCAGGTCACCATGCGGCTCAGCTTCCCATTCTCTTTTGTCGATAAACCACTCTGGATAATTCTTACAACAGCCTAGTTTGTTACATAGCAGCAGGGAGCTAGCAGCAGGGAGCTAGCAGCAGGAAGCCAGCAGCAGGAAGCTAGCAGCAGGAAGCTAGCAGCAGGAAGCTAGCAGCAGGAAGCTAGCAGCAGGAAGCCAGCAGCAGGAAGCCAGCAGCAGGAAGCTAGCAGCAGGAGAGCTAGCAGCAGGAAGCCAGCAGCAGGAGCTAGCAGCAGGGAGCTAGCAGCAGGAGAGCTAGCAGCAGGGAGCTAGCAGCAGGAAGCCAGCAGCAGGAAGCTAGCAGCAGGAAGCTAGCAGCAGGAAGCTAGCAGCAGGAAGCTAGCAGCAGGGAGCTAGCAGCAGGAAGCCAACAGCAGGAAGCCAGCAGCAGGAAACAAGAGAGCAAGCAGCAAGGAAGCCAGCAGCAGGAAGCTAGCAGCAGGAAGCTAGCAGCAGGAAGCCAGCAGCAGGAAACAAGAAGCTAGCAGCAGGAAGCCAGCAGCAGGAAGCTAGCAGCAGGAAGCCAGCAGCAGAAAGCCAGCAGCAGGAAGCTAGCAGCAGGGAGCTAGCAGCAAGGAGCTAGCAGCAGGAAGCTAGCAGCAGGAAGCCAGCAGCAGGAAGCCAGCAGCAGGAAACAAGAAGCTAGCAGCAAGCAAGAAGCCAGCAGCAGGAAGCCAGCAGCAGGAAGCAAGAAGCTAGCAGAAGGAAGCTAGCAGCAGGAAGCTAGCAGCAAGAAGCTAGCAGCAAGAAGCTAACAGCAAGAAGCTAGCAGCAAGAAGCTAGCAGCAGGAAGCAAGAAGCTAGCAGCAGGAAGCTAACAGCAGGAAGCCAGCAGCAAGAGAGCTAGCAGCAAGAAGCTAGCAGCAGGAAGCTAGCAGCAGGAAGCTAGCAGCAAGAAGCTAGCAGCAAGAAGCTAGCAGCAGGAAGCTAGCAGCAAGAAGCTAGGAGCAGAGAGCTAGGAGCAAGAGAGCTAGCAGCAGGAAGCTAGCAGCAAGAAGCTAGCAGCAGCAAGCTAGCAGCAGGAAGCTAGCAGCAGGAAGCAAGAAGCTAGCAGCAGGAAGCTAGCAGCAGGAAGCAAGAAGCTAGCAGCAGGAAGCTAGCAGCAGGAAGCAAGAAGCTAGCAGCAAGAAGCTAGCAGCAGGAAGCTAGCAGCAGAGAAGCTAGCAGCAGGAAGCTAGTAGCAGAAGCTAGCAGCAAGAAGCTAGCAGCAGGAAGCTAGCAGCAGGAAGCTAGCAGCAGGAAGCTAGCAGCAGGGAGCTAGCAGCAGGAGAGCTAGCAGCAGGAGAGCTAGCAGCAGGAAGCTAGCAGCAGGAGAGCTAGCAGCAGGAGAGCTAGCAGCAGGAGAGCTAGCAGCAGGAAGCTAGCAGCAGGAAGCTAGCAGCAGGAGAGCTAGCAGCAGGAAGCTAGCAGCAGGAGAGCTAGCAGCAGGAGAGCTAGCAGCAGGAGAGCTAGCAGCAGGAGAGCTAGCAGCAGGGAGCCAGCTAGGGAGCAGCAGAGGAGCTAGCAGCAAGAGCAGCCAGCAGCAGGAAGCCAGCAGCAGGAAAGCAAGAAGCAAGCAGCAGGAGCAAGAAGCTAGCAGCAGGAAGCCAGCAGCAGGAAGCCAGCAGCAGGAAGCTAGCAGCAGGAAGCTAGCAGCAGGAAGCTAGCAGCAGGAAGCTAGCAGCAGGAAGCCAGCAGCAGGAAGCTAGCAGCAGGAAGCCAGCAGCAAGAAGCCAGCAGCAGGAAGCTAGCAGCAGGACGCCAGCAGCAGGAAGCTAGCAGCAAGGCGCTAGCAGCTGGAAGCTAGCAGCAGGAAGCCAGCAGCAGGAAGCCAACAGCAGGAAGCCAGCAGCAGGAGAGCCAGCAGCAGGAAGCAAGAAGCTAGCAGCAGGAAGCTAGCAGCAGGAGAGCCAGCAGCAAGAATGCTAGCAGCAAGAAGCTAGCAGCAGGAAGCTAGCAGCAGGAGCAGAAGCCAGCAGCAGGAAGCAAGAGCTAGCAGCAGGAAGAGCAGCTAGCAGCAGGAAGCCAGCAGCAGGAAGCTAGCAGCAGGAAAGCAAGAAGCCAGCAGCAAGAAGCCAGCAGCAGGAAGCAAGAAGCTAGCAGCAGGAAGCTAGCAGCAGGAAGCTAGCAGCAGGAAGCTAGCAGCAGGAAGCCAGCAGCAGGAGAGCTAGCAGCAGGAAACAAGAAGCCAGCAGCAAGAAGCCAGCTAGCAGGAAGCAAGAAGCTAGCAGCAGGAAGCTAGCAGCAGGAAGCCAGCAGCAGGAAGCTAGCATCAGGAAGCTAGCAGCAGGAAGCCAGCAGCAGGAAGCTAGCAGCAGAGAGCTAGCAGCAAAAGAAGCTAGCAGCAGGAAGCTAGCAGCAGGAAGCTAGCAGCAGGAAGCTAGCAGCAGGAAGCTAGCAGCAGGAAGCTAGCAGCAGGAGAGCTAGCAGCAGGAAGCTAGCAGCAGGAAGCTAGCAGCAAGAAGCTAGCAGCAAGAAGCTAGCAGCAGGAAGCTAGCAGCAGGAAGCTAGCAGCAGGAAGCTAGCAGCAGGAAGCTAGCAGCAGGAAGCCAGCAGCAGGAAGCTAGCAGCAGGAAGCCAGCAGCAGGAAGCCAGCAGCAGAAGCTAGCAGCAGGACGCCAGCAGCTGGAAGCTAGCAGCAGGGAGCTAGCAGCAAGGAGCTAGCAGCTGGAAGCTAGCAGCAGGAAGCCAGCAGCAGGAAGCCAACAGCAGGAAGCCAGCAGCAGGAAGCAAGAAGCTAGCAGCAGGAAGCTAGCAGCAGGAAGCCAGCAGCAGGAAGCAAGAAGCTATCAGCAGGAAGCTAGCAGCAGGAAGCCAGCAGCAGGAAGCCAGCAGCAGGAAGCAAGAAGCTAGCAGCAGGAAGCTAGCAGCAGGAAGCTAGCAGCAGGAAGCTAGCAGCAGGAACAAGAAGCCAGCAGCAAGAAGCCAGCAGCTAGCAGCAAGAAGCTAGCAGCAGGAGAGCTAGCAGCAAGAAGAGCTAGGAGCAAGAAGCTAGCAGCAAGAAGCTAGGAGCAAGAGAGCTAGGAGCAAGAAGCTAGCAGCAGGAAGCTAGCAGCAGGAAGCTAGCAGCAAGAGAAGCTAGCAGCAAGAAGCCAGCAGCAGGAAGCAAGAGAGCTAGGAGCAAGAAGCTAGCAGCAAGAAGCCAGCAGCAGGAGCAAGAAGCTAGCAGCAGGAAGCTAGCAGCAGGAAGCCAGCAGCAGGAAGCTAGCAGCAGGAGCTAGCAGCAGGAAGCCAGCAGCAGGAAGCTAGCAGCAAGAGAGCTAGGAGCAGGAAGCTAGCAGCAAGAAGAGCTAGCAGCAGGAAGCAGGAAGCTAGCAGCAGGAAGCTAGCAGCAGGAAGCAAGAAGCTAGCAGCAAGAAGCTAGCAGCAGGAAGAAGAGCTAGCAGCAAGAAGCTAGCAGCAGGAAGCTAGCAGCAAGAAGCTAGCAGCAGGAAGCTAGCAGCAAGAAGCTAGCAGCAGGAAGCTAGCAGCAAGAAGCTAGCAGCAAGAAGCTAGCAGCAAGAAGCTAGCAGCAGGCTGGCTAACATCAGAACGGCGTTCAGGAACCTGTGTAAGGAATCATTCAGAATCTTGTACACCACATATGTAAGACCAATCCTGGAGTATGCGGCCCCAGCATGGAGCCCGTACCTTGTCAAGCACAAGACGAAGCTGGAAAAAGTCCAAAGGTATGCTACTAGACTAGTCCCAGAACTAAGAGGCATGAGTTATGAGGAAAGGCTGCGGGAAATGCACCTCACGACACTGGAAGACAGAAGAGTAAGGGGGGACATGATCACAACCTACAAAATCCTCAGGGAATCGACCGGGTAAACAAGGACGAACTTTCAACACTGGTGGGACGCGAACAAGGGGACACAGGTGGAAGCTGAGTACCCAATGAGCCACAGAGACGTTAGAAAGAACTTTTTCAGTGTCAGAGTAGTTAGCAAATGGAATGCATTAGGAAGTGATGTGGTGGAGGCTGACTCCATTCACAGTTTCAAGTGTAGATATGATAGAGCCCAATAGGCTCAGGAATCTGTACACCTGTTGATTGACGGTTGAGAGGCGGGACCAAAGAGCCAGAGCTCAACCCCCGCAAGCACAACTAGGTGAGTACAACTAGGTGAGTACCCCCCCCCACACACACACACACACACACACACACACACACACACACACACACACACACACACACACACACACACACACACACACACACAGCCCTCTGTGCCTGGCGGATCGACTCACGTTAAGGGTTAACAAGTAATATAGGTTCTTGAGATAGGAGGGGCAGACTCGAGCCCGGACCAAGATCCTGGTGATTTCCCCGAGGAGGAGAAGCAACAGCAGCAGCAGCAGGAGCAGGAGAAGCAGGAGAAGCAGCAGGAGGAGCAGCCGCAGGAGCAACAGCAGGAGAAGCAGCAGCAGCTGTAGCAGCAGGATCAGCAGCAGCAGGAGCAGCAGCAGCAGGAGCAGCAGCAGCAGAAGCAGCAGCAGCAGCAGCAGCAGTAGCAGCTGTAGCAGCAGCAGCAAACCGCAGCAGCAGCAGCTGTAGCAGCAGGATCAGCAGCAGCAGGAGCAGCAGCAGCAGGAGAAGCAGCAGCAGAAGAAGCAGCAGCAGCAGCAGCAGCAGCAGTAGCAGCAGTAGCAGCAGCAGCAACAGCAGCAGCAGCAGCAGGAGGAGGACCTTGGCTACGGCGTATCTCAGCGCCCGTCTCCACTGGTCAGAGTTCCCTGTTGTTCAATTTTAAAGAAGTTAAGAGTTTGTTTTAGACTGGAATGTTGCCTGGAGGTTGTGATGGTAGGCGAGGCTGGCCAGGAGTGCTGGCACTCGGCCGGCTGGGCCAGATGCTGCTGGCACTCGGCCGGCTGCCCCAGATGCTGCTGACACTCGGCCGGCTGGGCCAGATGCTGCTGGCACTCGGCCGCTGGGCCAGATGCTGCTGGCACTCGGGCCGGCTGGGCCAGATGCTGCTGACACTCGGCCGGCTGGGCCAGATGCTGCTGGCACTCGGCCGGCTGGGCCAGATGCTGCTGGCACTTGGCCGCCTGGGCCAGATGCTGCTGGCACTCGGCCGGCTGGGCCAGATGTTGCTGGCACTCGGCCGGCTGGGCCAGATGCTGCTGGCACTCGGCCGGCTGGGCCAGATGCTGCTGGCACTCGGCCGGCTGGCCCAGATGTTGCTGGCACTCGGCCGGCTGGGCCAGATGGCTGCTGGCACTCGGCCGGCTGGGCCAGATGCTGCTGGCACTCGGCCGGCTGGGCCAGATGCTGCTGGCACTCGGCCGGCTGGGCCAGATGCTGCTGGCAGTGCTCGGCCGGCTGGGCCAGATGCTGCTGGCACTCGGCCGGCTGGGCCAGATGCTGCTGGCACTCGGCCGGCTGGGCCAGATGCTGCTGGCACTCGGCCGGCTGGGCCAGATGCTGCTGGCACTCGGCCGGCTGGGCCAGATGCTGCTGGCACTCGGCCGGACTGGGCCAGATGCTGCTGGCACTCGGCCGGCTGGGCCAGATGCTGCTGGCACTCGGCCGGCTGGGCCAGATGCTGCTGGCACTCGCCGGCTGGGCCAATGCTGCTGGCACTCGGGCGGCTGGGCCAGATGCTGCTGGCACTCGGCCGGCTGGGCCAGATGTTGCTGGCACTCGGCCGGCTGGGCCAGATGTTGCTGGCACTCGGCCGGCTGGGCCAGATGCTGCTGGCACTCGGCCGCTGGGCCAGATGCTGCTGGCACTCGGCCGTGGGCCAGATGCTGCTGGCACTCGGCCGGCTGGGCCAGATGCTGCTGGCACTCGGGCGGCTGGGCCAGATGCTGCTGGCACTCGGCCGGCTGGGCCAGATGCTGCTGGCACTCGGCCGGCTGGCCCAGATGCTGCTGGCACTCGGCCGGCTGGCCCAGATGTTGCTGGCACTCGGCCGGCTGGGCCAGATGTTGCTGGCACTCGGCCGGCTGGGCCAGATGCTGCTGGCACTCGGCCGGCTGGCCCAGATGCTGCTGGCACTCGGCCGGCTGGGCCAGATGCTGCTGGCACTCGGCCGGCTGGGCCAGATGTTGCTGGCACTCGGCCGGCTGGGCCAGATGCTGCTGGCACTCGGCCGGCTGGGCCAGATGCTGCTGGCACTCGGCCGTCTGGGCCAGATGCTGCTGGCACTCGGCCGCTGGGCCAGATGCTGGCTGGCACTCGGCCGGCTGGGCCAGATGCTGCTGGCACTCGGCCGGCTGGGCCAGATGCTGCTGGCACTCGGCCGGCTGGGCCAGATGCTGCTGGCACTCGGCCGGCTGGGCCAGATGCTGCTGGCACTCGGCCGGCTGGGCCAGATGCTGCT